AAGAAAAAATTTTAAAGTTTTGTTTTATTCTCTCGTAATCTGCAAGTTCATAAAATGTTAAACTTGTGTTTTTATAGTTTGAACGGTTTTTAATTCACACTAAACTTTAATATATAGAAAGAACCTAAGTCAATTGCTCTGTTAACACATTCATCTTTTAAACTCCGCAACGCATTCAGAGAAAGGGGAAATAAATTTCTCTGAACTCGACAGATGCCACGCCCATTTTCTACACATACGAAATGCAATTTCTCAGCCAATTATACTTAGTTGAGCTAGATGTTTATAACCAATGGAAAGAACACTTTTTGAAGTATGTTCTCTTAACTGTTATTTCAAAATTAGTGCAAAGAATTATATAGAGAACTAGTTAAACTGCTCTTAGCATTGTTGCTGCTTTGTTCCCACCACTTCAGCATTATTTCTCACCTAGAAATATGTTAGTTAGATAGACAGTTGCATTGTATTTAGGTTTAGTTTTTATATTTTACTTAATTGTGTTATTTTTGTTTTAAGACGTATATTTGAAAGGTTTAATATTTTTTATTATATAAGCCAGTGCCTACTTGGTTCACAAGAGATAGTGTAATGCGTGACAACCACCAGATTCTGTGCTCACTATGCAGTAGTATTGGCTGGGGCCACCCACTGCCACGTGTTGCTATAAATAATGGTACTACTGACAGGAAAGGATAATAAATTATATGTGAAAATGTAAAAATGTGCATAGAAAGATGTTTCATGAAATATTAAAAGGTATGTGAATTTTTCCTGTGTCTTAATTTTAAACATTTCATATACTATATAGTATAAATTGATTATAATAGCTACAGTTAGTAATATCATAGAGAAAGTAAAAAAAAATATATATAAACATTTAACTTAATTTAAAAGTAACTTGTGGTATTCACTTTGTGGGTTCTAGGGGTTATGCAAATGAAATTTAAAACCTACAAGTTGGAAAAAAGTATTTTTTTTTATACTCATGTTGTTTTGCTGGTTACGATAAAAGCTACTTCAATACACTTCTGTAAACTTAAGAGTTAACAGGGCTAGCAGTAAAGGAATTAATTGTAATGTGTAGGTTCTATTAAGTAACAGATTTTAGCCTTTAGCTTGTGCAGATGATGTACTTGAGGAGGGAAGTATAACAATAGACAGATAGGGATGGCAATGAATCGCACAAGGAGGTTATTGTTAGAGAAGATTCTTTGGTATGACACATGAATAGGATAGTTGGTGGGGTAAATAGGGAGAAAAGAATTAGATTATGCTATAAAGGGATGGGTGGGTTGAGAACATAACTAACAGAGCAAGTGATATAGTAAAGGGTTATATTGCACATAGAGATTAAGAGGGGGCCAGAATAATGAAGAAAAGATGCAGAAAGTAGTAGTGTGAGGGAACAAGGTAAAAAAATAATTTTAACGATAGACAGAGTGTTATTATTACAATGCTAGAAGTATAAGAAATGCAACTGATGACTTTAGAGCACTAGTCAGAACAGAGGATTTTGAAATAATGGGAATAATTGAAACTGAGCTAAATTTAGTCAATTTTCATGACAGGAATTTCTTTGAAATACAAGGTTATAGGTTGTTCAATAGTGATAGAGAACTAAAAAGAGGAGGAGTGGCTTCATATGTCAAATACGAGTTACAGCCTGTTCAAGTTGATGTCAAAGCTAATAGCAATGAAGTTGAATCTGTTTGGGTTTTTGTTAGAGGTTATAAGAGAAGGCTTTTACCTGGAATTTGTTACAGACCACCAAATGAAATTGAGAAACTCTACAGTGACATAAGGAATTCAATTGTTAAAGAGATTATAATTATGGAAGATTTTACTTTTAGGCATACATATATTGATAAATGTTAGTAAAATCATAAGGAACAGGTTTTTAGGTTTTCTTCAACAATTTGTTAAGGAAACTATAAGGAATAATGCTATTTTAGATTTACTGTTAACTTCTAATAAAGAAATGGTTGACAAGATAAGAGTTTGGAACATCTGGATGTAAATGATCATTGCTCAATGAGATTTGAGGTTTTTCTGCATTTTGAGATAAATAATATAATTTTTGGTTCCAAATTTAAAACAGCAAATTTTGAAGATATAAGAATTATCTACTGTGAATTGGACAACTGAATTAGTTTGAAGTACTGATCAAATGTGGAATATTTTTTTAAATGATTCATAAATAGGCATGTTTGTTATACACAGAAAAGGGTGGCTGCAAGTAAAATGCCAAAGGATATAAAAGATAAAACTGAAGAAAAGAAGTATAAATACAAGAGTAAATTGAGAATTATGATGGGAGGTTTGGTGGACTATAAAAGATCAAGAGAGTTGACCAACTAGGATAAAAACTCTAAAATGTACATGAAAAAAACGTTGGCTGAAAAGTAATAATCAATAGTAATGATTTTTTTCAAATACATTAAAAGTAAACAAAATGTTAGGACGGAAATAGGGTTTTTGAGGGATGTTACAGGAAGGCTAATATTTGATGATTAAGGGATAGCTGGGTTATTAAATTTTACTTTTTCTTCACTATTATTAATGAAGATTTAAGCACTATTCCATCTAGCAACTGTTCAGGATGAAGAATAGTGAAGATATTTTGGATCTTTTCCATTTGGTACCCAACAACAGTAATAAACATCAATGCGGAACTCATCGCCAAATGCTTGACTCTTATCTTTGTGAATTTATATGGAAAAATAGAAACAAAGATGAAGATTTATTCAAAACAATAGTTTAATATTGCAGAATTTGTTAAATAATATCATATAATGTTTTGTTATTAAATATTTTATTGCATTACTGGTGTTATTTTCAAAACTATCTGTTGGTGGGCACCAAATGGAAAAGACTCGATTTTTTGCTCATGAAACCATGCATTACTAATCTTTTGAATTTTTTGAAGAGTTTACTGACGTAGGTTAGGGTATAAGTATGGATTTGATGTATCTGGATTTTCCAAAACTACTTGACAAGATGCTACATAAAAAATTATCTCTGTAGAAGTAGAGGATGGTTGGGTCATTGGATCAGAAAGTGGCATAAATAAAAATAAGCAAAGGTCCTAACACTGAGCTCTGAGGTACCACACTCATGACATTAATCCAATTTGAATGAACTCCATTTATTTTAACCCTCTACTTTCTTCCATCTAGCCAATGATATAGATGAAGGAATGGCTAATAGATTACTTAAATTTGTTGATGACATTAAAATTTTAGGTGTTGCTGGCTAAAAGAAGGATGCTACTGCTTTACACAAGAATTTGGATTATTTGGAGAGTTGGGCAAATAAATTGTAGGTGAGTTTTGATTATAATAAGTGCAAGATAATGCATGTGAGATATCACAATTTTAATTGAGTATAACCTTAACAATGTTATTTAAGAAAAGTCTTGGTGTTCTGGTTCATCCATCTCTTATGGCCATCCATCATGTGCTGTTACTAGTGGCAAGGTAAACAGGATTTTTGATTGTATCGACCGATATACTGAATACAAGTTTATTGAGGTCATTGGTTAGGCCACATTTGGCGTACTGTGTTCAGTCTTGGGCTCCTTCCTTAAAAAGAACACTGAATTTTTGGAAAGGGTTTAGAGAAGGGTTACTATGATGTTAGATTAATATTTTGGAACTTTTTTTCTCTTGAAAAATGAAGAGTTAGAGGGGATTTAATTAAGGTGTTTAAGACTGTTAAGGAAATTGATAGTGTTGATGCATCATCTTTTTTTCATACTTAATGGTGAAAATAGGAAGAGTAGGGGACATAAATATAAATTTGACAGGGTAGGCTTTTTTGTACTTTGTTTAATTTAATGGACAGGATGGTCTAGATAGACCAGAAGGTACCTTCCAGTCCTTTATGTTAAAGATGTTATGGCTCTCTGTTAGTTTAAATGTAATTGGTAAGGCCATTGGTAATGGTAGAGAAATAAGCCTACCTGCATGATATTTTTAAATAAGTGGCTTAAAGCTGAACACAAAAGTATAAAAAAGGAAGACTATAGTGGTAAGCTTGAGCAAACATATTTATGTTGCAATTATACTTAAAGCAGTAGACTTATTTCTAAGATTACAACTGACATTGAAGTGTACAACTAATTGGTTACCACAAACACTTTAGCTTATTATACCTTTTTACAATGTATTTAACAACTTTTTAGTAATATTAAAAAGTGTTAAACTGTGAAATTACCCATCATGTTTTCAAACATTTGTCTGAGCTAGTCATGTACCGAATTACTTAAAGTCAGATACAGGATCCCTAATAACAAATGAATCACACAAAAATATTTAAACAGAAATGCATTAATATTGCAATTAATCTCATCAGTTACTACTACTAGGGTCTCCTGTGTATTTTACCCAGACAACAAGCCAAAACATAAAATTACTAAATAATATGATACAATATAAAAACTTATCTAGTAGTAGTAGTAGTGTTGAATGGCATAAAAATCGAGTAATTTAATTTTAATATTACAATTAATTGTCACAGTGGCAGTGGGCTAGTATTAATAAACAGCTCCAATTTAATTAGATTTCACTCCAAGTTATTAAAATGAATAATTTCTTGAAAAACACTATTAAATTTAATTTCTTTAAAAGGCATTTTAGTTATACTTTATACCATTACCAAACTTTTAATGTTTTAGTTTTAGTCTTATGTTACTAACACTAAAGATATATAGATCAGTAATTGATATAATTATAACATTAACTAACCGTCTATAACTGTATAAAATGTTTAACTCTGAAGTTTAAGTTGCTATTTATTGTCTGCCCGAGAAAACGGTTAATTGTAATGAAAATGGAATTTGAAAACAATTATATAATATATAAATAATTATTAAATATAAGGAGTACTAGTGTAGTAGACACACTGAGTTTAACTATAGTACCCCTAACAGTAACAGTTTAGGTTAATATTAATCATGTTTTCTGGTAATTCTACAGCAAATTAATATAAGTCATAGTTACCTGTTTAAATAGTCATTAAAAAAAAATTACGCAAACTATTTAGTTGAGAAACATAATACGATGACTAATTAATAAAATAGCAGAATCTGCTTACTTATATATTAGAATATGTATCTCACAGAACAAAGCCTTATGTAATTATACAAAGAAATATGTCAAATAATCATCGTTTTCACTAAGGTAAGTAAGCAGCAAATACAAACTACTCAATACACTTCCTGCGCACGTATAAGGTCACGGAAAATGTGCAAACTTAAAACCCTTAGAATTGTTTAGGTTCACAGATGATTTACATTCGTTTTCTACGAATACTGAAGTCTAAAACGTATGAAAAGCAATTAAATACTAATTTAAATAAATAGTGACCAATTTAGATCTATATTTATTTAATATATATGTATATAATTTAACATATGTAAATTAATATGTGTTGAATGAGTAAATTAGGATATCAACTAATATACTTTTATAAGTTTAACTCTTCATCGGAAGACGAACTGTTTCAAGTACATTTCAGTTTATGCAAACAAGTTTGCAATTTTCGTGAATTATTTGATCATGTAAAGCACTACTCTCAAATGACTCCCCTCCAATAACTCAATGGTAAATATGAAGGCTTATAACGCTAAAAACTGGATTTCGATACCTATGCTGAGCGCAGCCCAGATCGTGTAGGGTTATGCTCAACAACAAATAAAGCATTACAAATTTAAATTTTAACAGCTCTCAGCTAGACTTTCTAGTAACATGGGCATATCAGTAAAAGTCAAAAACATTGCAACACTTTATTTCTTTGACTCTCGGCACTAATTCCTAACGAAGTGTCCAAACATGGGACTTGAAGTTGTTTCGGGTCTGACACAAAACGTTTATACCCTGTTGCCTTGTTAAATATGTTTGAGTGTTTCACCTAATAATTAATATAACTTTTCTGGATAATTTGGCCAAAAGAAAAAAGAGGGTAATGATTTCTGAAATAGATTTGTAGTTTGTGTAGTTACATACATCTTCATCTATAAATAATCAAATTATTATTTCTACTTTTGACTTAGCTACTTATATTGCTAGTCATTCATGTTTAGATATTTTGCTATAATTTCGTATTAAAATCTTTTACAAGACCGTTGCTTATATTTCTCATATCGTTACATACACCTCTTTAAAAATATCCGGAATCCTACAGATCCAGTGACTGCTTTATTAGACGGATTTAAAGGATATGTAAATGACAGCATTGCACATGTGGTGCAGGACTGTATCATACGTTAGCTTTTACCTCAATTAATACGAAAATTTTGATATTTCTTGTTTGTTTCAATTTGGATTGGATGCAAAGTGTAAATTGCTTAAATGAGCAACTCTACTTTCCCTTTCTTCAGTACACACTTCAAGAGACGCGATTCACTAATTGATGGTTAGTAGTGCTTTCATACAGGAAAGATAGCTCTTGATGTATTGAGATAATTGGTGGATTTTCTGTTGATGAAATAGATAATGGCCAGGGCTATCACGCCATTGCACTCATATTACAGTGAACGAAAGTGATATGTACAAGGTGGAGTCGTGTGCAAAGCTGGATTTGTGTGATGTTATTGTGTTTTGTATTTAAAACCAGTTTTTCACCAGTAAGAGCAACTTCTGACTTCAAAATATAGTTTTTAACTTTCATCTTAACTGTTGATTTTTGTAGAAATTCACTTATGTGTGAGTTTAACTTGCTTTTTGACATAATGTGTATCTTAACTTTGGAGTTTATTTTCTGGTATTACCACAGAGCAGATAATTACTGGAAGTTCAGAGAATACCCTACTATGGAGTATAATGTTCTCCCAGTCTATAGTTGTAAAAACAAAGAAGAAAAACTTGACGCCAATAGTTTCATAAGTTCCCAAATGCTTATTAAACAAAAAGTCGCAATACAATACAAAAACAAGGTTAAACAAAGGCAAACGTATTTTGGTGCTTGTTGAAATGACAAGAGAGAGAGAGTTGAAGATTTCATTGAAAATATTTTTCAGTTCTTTGTGTATCTCCTTGTAAGTTAAACTAAATTCTAAATCTAAAATATAAAAGTGAACCCCAAGTTAAGCTTAGAAAAAAGTGAACTTGAAATCCAAATTAAGTATGGATTCTAAGAAGATAAGATAAGATTTGAGAAATTACCAAATGATTTTTGGATTAAGAGAAACATATAAATTTTAAACTTAACTTTTCTTAGTTAAGCTAATTAATATGTCTGGCGTTTGTGACTTAGATAAATGTAATTTTTATTTGCATACGTTTTTAAATTTATTTAAATCTAACTTATGAGTTTTGGTTAGAGTAACTCCTATTGACTTAATTAAAGTTGGAGAAGTTTTAAAAGAATTTATACCGGAAATTAATAAACGAACAGAGACGTAACAATATTTAAAGCCATGTTTTCTCCTGTAAGGACTTGTATCGCTGAAGTTCCTCGGGTTCTGTGTATTGTAAAGTTGTATTGAGAAAGAATAAACTAGTTTTATTTAAGAAATTCCCACAGTCACTTTAACTTAAACACACGCTATAATTCACAACGATTCACGCACTTTATTTACGACTTGACTCGATAATCTGCCTCTATCTCTTCGATCTGCAATTATTCTCCCCCCCCCGATCCATTGTCTGGCGCTCTTATATACAAGAATAGAGGGCGCGTAGAAAATAGTAGAGTTGTCACGAACAGACATGATCCTTCTAGAATATCATGACGTGTTACTAGAGTCCCGTGACATCCGCTGTCGTAACAGTATCAACGAAAAGTGGGTTTGACTGTAATATTATAACGCTTGAAAGGGCGAGCGTATTCGATGATGGAATTTGAACTCGACACCCGCATATTGAGAGTCGAGCGCCCTAACCACCAGGCCATGCCAGGCCTCGTTAGTAAAGTTAAAGATTTGTTTATTAATCACTTGTGTGACGTAGAAGTAGTAGTAAGTTTCTGAAAATCTTTTCAGTTCTTGATCGTCCTTTTTTAAGTTTTTGACAAACCAACTTAATGAGTTTTTTGCGTTGTCCAAGCAAAAGGGATCGAATCCCTAATTCATGTGTTATTAAGGACATGTGGTTTTGAATGCAGCTATTGCGTAGAAACAAACATTCTCCGACAACCCCCTGAAGAAGAAATGTAGTGATGTCAAATTAAATAATTTGTGTCATTTCCCCATGCCTTTTCGGCAATAAAGTATAATTGCATCTTCAACTATGATCATAAGCCGGACAGTTTAGGGTTACGCTGGAGGAGATATGGTAAGTTGGTTAATCACACATAATGTATTATACACTAATACGATAAACCTTTCTTCGGTTCAACCCACTCTTCTAGTTTCATAGATGTTTAGCTGAAAGTTTTGAATTGGTAGGTTTGTTCTGTGGGACTTTGTCACCTAGAGACGAAGACGTTATGTAAACTTCACTAACCCTAACCTCTTCACCCGATCTCATGAAACTAACTTTTCACTTGTACAACATGGAGAAATGTTACAAAGTAAGGCCCCATCTGGGCGCTTTTTGCTTCAGTTTTTATTTTAATAAACGTTATTGTAATACAGTTTCATAAGCTGAATTTAAAAATATATGTATATATATTTTGGGGGGGGGGGGTAGAAATTATAAAAAAAACTGCAAAAATCAACATTTTAATTCGGAAATATCATACATAATTTTCTTAAACAGATCTTCAGTTATGTTTATATGACGCCAAATGAATTCACACAGATAAAAGTCTACATTGTTGCAGTCCACCACAGTACATCCATGTGAAGTTCATCTTTGCAAAAATTCATGCATGTATGTGTATTCTTTGGGCCAACAATATATAACAATACTTATTTTTATCAAAAGAAGTGTTGTTCCTTCTAACATTTCTAATTGAATGTAATTTGTTACAGGAATTTTTTGGACATCTCCATATGTACATCGGTCAGGCAGAAATTTGATGTTCATTGGGTTTTTGTGCGACACGTCTTTTTTTTTTTGGCGGGGGGGGGGGGTAATTTTGAAGGATTGAAAAAAAAATGCACCAATTGTTCTTGGAACTGTAAGTGTGTTCATAACCATTGTAAATTAATTTCCATTTTTATCTGTAAAACCTGTAAAGAACGATAATAGGTTTATCGTCCTTTTCACTATGTTCTTATTATTTCTCCAAAGAGATACACACATTTTTTAATTCGGCGCATGAAACTGTAGTAGAATAACGTTTATTAAATAAAAATTTAACAGTTCATCAAACCGAAAAGCGCCCTGGTGTATTTCTGATGAGAGACCTCTCGTCTCTGAGAACTTCTAGTGTGATGACAACGTTTGTAAATATGTGTGTCTCTCTACACTTTTCGTGTGATCGTGGTTATACTTAACGAAATGTACATAAACATGTATTAATTGTACAATATTTTTCCTTCCGAGAACCTTAAAACCAACAGGTGAAAGTAACCATTAAAAAAAATGAACTTGCGAACTAAGGCAGCAAAGATAAAGATGTTTTATTTCCCTGAAAGGGGGCGGAAAGTTGCCTGGAGTTTTAACCACTCGCACCAATATACAGTGGTGTATTTTCTGTCACTCAGTTGACACTAAAATGACGTAACATAAGGGACGCTTAACGTTGCAATTTCCACTGTCGTGACGCCATTAAAACGTGCGGATGCCATGAATCACGAGAATAATTATTCACTGTAGACTGCAACATACATGACATATGAACTTCAAAAGCAAGAAATAAAAATATTTGTTACTCTTAATTTTAGGCTTATTTGAAACAAAACACTTTCGGGGACTCTACGGAAGTACATCTAGTATTATTGTAGAAAACCAGTTTTAAAATTTATATGGTCAGAACTGCACTATCAAAATTCAGTACAACTTCTTTTCTTGTGTATTGTAGTGAACATGATAATAATAATACAAGTTTTAATTTTGAATTATTGATTTATTGGTTATATGATTGATACATAGTATAACATGGCTAGTGTTTAGTTTCTTGTTGATCGCCTGTTTTATCCTGAACTTACGAATCCAAATTATCCACTTAAACTTAATAATATAAAAGCAGTGTATATCTGTTTTTCTAAAAGCCGTTTATCTGAACAGTTTTAAATAAATAGGTCAAAACTGGCAGGTTAAAAGTACTGTAGGCATATGACAAAAAAAGAAGTTAAACAGTATAAATTAATTCTAAAGTACCGTTGTTTCCCCAATTCTCTTTTAAAACATCAGACATG